ATGAATCTAAAACCGAATGCCTTAACAGGTAATGTCTCCCAGCAAATCAGAACAATAATAAATTATGTAACTAAATGCTTGCAGACAAATTTGAAAAAAATAATACAAAGGCTGGAAAATGCCGCATATGATACTTAGGAATGCGCACTCGCAAAGGAGGATTTAAAAACCTCTAAAAAATAGCAGCAGCAGCACGAAAAGGGAACAGAGTTACCTTTGCGGCTGTCTTGGTAGCTAAACAGTTGTACAGTTCAATGGGAGCAACTTGACACAGTCAAAGGCAGCTTCAAGAGGAATTGATGAAGTCAAGCACCAATTCCAGCGGATTTGCTCGTAGTGAGAGAGAAGCCATGAACGGAGGCGTAATTCATGGGCCTTGTGCTCTACCAAGCAAAAAAGGCGAAGGGGTGCAGACGTTAGAAAAAATAGATACTTGAAGAGGAGAAGTAGGAAAGAATTCACAGAAAGCCTGCAAAATTTGTACAACATGAAACATGCCGGAGCACAGAAGCTGGAGTAAACGAGGAAAAGCTCCAATGCCCACCGGCTCCGCCAATTAAAAAATAAAAAAGGAAATGAAGCAATTCCCCTTGTTCCAAATCCAGTTCACCATTTGTCATCAAGGCTCCACTCTATACGACCTGCTCCTTACTAATGCAGCACTGCCATAAGGAGAAACTGCCCTGCAAAAGCAACGCAGAACACTGCCAAAGAGGACACAATGCCAGGTCATGAAGCACTAGTGGAGTGAAAAACCAGGCTCTGCACATTGCCCTTTCTCTCCTTCCAAGCCACTGTCGCTGATGCACAAGAGAAATGGAGTGCACAAACACCAAAGGAAAGTAGCAGAGGTTCTAAAGACTATTATTTTGCCAATGAAGAAAAGAAGGAGACGAAACCGTACATAGTTTCTTCTACCTCTCACAGAGCACTTGTTGACAAGGATTTACCCTACGCCAACTAATCCAAAAATAAAAAGCAGTGCGGTAAGGAAGGATTGCAGAAAAAAGCGACAAAGCTTAAAGAGCATTAATGCGTTGGAATAATAAGAAAAGTAAAAACAATAATAACCGGATAATTATGGTGACCGTTTATCAGCTCTTGTTTTTACTTAAACTGGAGAGTACCCCTAAATTCAAAGGGATTCATAACCAAATATTCCACTCACTGATACCAGAGATGATAATACCTTATCCAAATAGTGCTACCTTGGCTCACACACTTCGTTCACTTCGATCAACAGGGAAATGAATGTTTCTCTCCATTAATCAGGTTCACCTTACATACTTCTTTGCCTTTTGAATAGAAGCTAATAAATGTGCACAAAATTATAAAAAAACTTCCGAGACATAATCATAGCTTGGATAAGGAGAGTTAGTGAGCAGGAATAAGGAGAGTGAGGGGTCTAGGCAAGCTTTCACTATTCCTCTTGGGATCGCTGCCAGAAAAAAAGAATGATCATTCCAGTGCTTTGTGCTTCAAGTTTACAGAATGTACCATAACATCCAGGAAGTGTTCAAAGGCGCGACTTTACCACATCAAATTTGGCTTGGGAATTGTTGTTGAAAAATTAGAATCGACTAGAATGAACGCTGGAGATGACACTCAGGGCTTTCATACGGTCACGTAGACCCCTA